TTAGACCACCGTATGGATCAGTTTGCCCAGGCTTTACAAACCATACTGGCTCGTACTGCCCACTTGCAACCTGCCGTCCAAGAAGCTGTTGCTGCTGTGCCAGAACCCATTCCTGATCCAGTACCCGCTCCTGCTCACGTGGTTCACATGACGCCACCTCAGCGCTATAGCGGTGATCCAGCATTGTGCCGTGGTTTCCTCAACCAAATTGATATTCATTTGGTGATGAATCCTCGTTCCTACCCCACTGACAGAACCAAAATTGCTTTTTTGATTAACCATTTGTCCGGGAAAGCTCTAGCATGGGCTAATCCCATGTGGGAGAATACGTCCCCAATGTCCTTTTCAGACTTCTTAACAGCTTTTAAACGTACGTTTGACCAACCCGGCCGGGTTGCTTCTGCTGGCAAAGCTCTGCTTAGGGTGCGACAGGGTAATAGATCAGTAGCGGATTATACCATTGAATTCCGTACTTTGGCAGCTGAAGTGGTCTGGAATAACGACGCTCTCGTAACAGCTTTTCAGGAGGGTTTGGCTGCTTACATATTAGATGAGATAGCATCCAGGGAAATGCCTGTTCTTCTGGATGATCTAATAGATTATGTCATTCTAATTGACAACCGTATCAGAGAGAGGCGTAGTCAAAGGAGGATGAATACACAAGGGTTACCTGCTTTACCCAGTACTGCATTGCTAGCATTACCTCCCCCTAATCAACCACTCCCGAACCCATGCAATTAGGTGCTGTAGGCTTATCTGAAGCTGAAAGAACGTACCGCAGAAGGGAGGGTTTGTGCCTTTATTGTGGTAAGAGGGGGCATCTCCGAAGAAACTGTCCTAGTTTGCAGGGAAACTCCAGCACCTAAGGCCTAGAGAGGGGTCGGCCTCGGGTGTTATGGTTTTTTCCCCTCATACGTCCATCTCTAGACCATTTATAACGGTTTCTCTTTTGGTCAATAAAACCACGATAACAACTAAAGCCTTGATCGATTCAGGTGCTGCAGACAGTTTTATGGATGAGAACTTTGCTAAAACCACAGCCATGAATCTGATCCAAAAGGCCACACCCTTGGCCATTATGGCCATAGATGGTAGACCACTTGAGAAACCTCTGGTGACCCATGAAACCCAAGAAATGGTTATGGTCGTGGGTGCCTTACACAAAGAAAGGATAGCCTTTCAAATAATTGACTCCCCTACAGCTTCCATCATTCTGGGTTTTCCCTGGTTAGTGAAGCATAACCCAGTACTCGATTGGGATTCTCTAGATATACTATCCTGGGGGGTATCTTGTCAACAGGATTGTATGGCCCGTTTACATCCCGTTTGTTTAATTAATGTGCCTACAGCTAAACCACTTTCTGTTTCTGTCCCTCCTGTATATGCAGACCTCGCATTGGTCTTTGAAAAGAGGGAAGCTGATAAACTACCCCCACACCGGGATTATGATTGTGCCATAAATTTGTTACCTGGAACGATGCCTCCTAGGGGTAAGGTCTACCCGCTTTCTGAGAAAGAAAACCAGGTCATGGAGGAGTACATACAGGAATCCTTACGTAAAGGTTTTATCAGAAGGTCCTCCTCTCCTGCTGGTGCTGGTTTCTTTTTTGTTGCCAAGAAGGAGGGCGATTTGAGACCATGTATAGATTATAGGGGTCTGAATAATATAACAATTAAAAATGCTTATCCTATCCCTCTCATTACTGAGTTGTTTGACCGTGTTAAAGGTTCTAGATATTTTACTAAATTAGACCTCAGGGGGGCTTACAACTTGGTTCGGATAAAAGAAAATGATGAATGGAAGACAGCGTTCAATACACGCAGTGGGCATTACGAGTATCTAGTCATGCCTTTTGGACTGTGTAATGCTCCTGCTGTCTTTCAGGACTTCATAAATGATGTCCTTAGAGATCTACTGCATGTCTGTGCTGTGGTTTATCTCGATGATATACTCATATTCTCTCCTGATTTGGAGTCACATCATAACCATGTGAGGAAGGTACCTAAGAGATTGCTACAGAACGGTCTTTATTGTAAATTGGAGAAATGTTTATTTGACCAGAAATCAGTACAATTCCTAGGGTACGTCATTTCTGAACAGGGGTTCAGTATGGATCCTTCTAAATTAGAAGCCATATTGTCTTGGCCTCTTCCTCAAGGTCTTAAGGCAATACAGCGATTTATAGGCTTTGCCAATTATTATCGCAGGTTTATTAAAAACTTTTCATCGGTCATTTCTCCTATCACGAAACTAACTAAAAAGGGTTTGCACCCCAGGGTTTGGACTCCTGAAGCCGTCAAGGCCTTCAAAACCCTCAAAAAGGCATTTGCCACTGCTCCTGTGCTACACCATCCTGATCCTTCCCTTCCCTTTGTAATGGAAGTAGACGCTTCAGAATCAGGTATAGGAGCTGTATTATCACAAAGATTATCCTATAACGAACCCCTCCATCCCTGTTGTTACTTTTCTAGGAAACTGTCTGATGCGGAAAAGAATTACGACATTGGGAATAGGGAACTATTAGCTATTGTGATGGCATTTAAAGAGTGGAGATACTTATTAGAAGGAGCTAGACACAAAATCCTGGTTATAACTGATCATAAGAATCTCTCCTATATAGCTGATGCTAAAAGGTTATCCTCTCGTCAAGCCAGATGGTCCTTATTTCTTTCACGTTTTCAGTTCATTATCACATATAGGCCTGGTTACCGTAATGTCAAGGCTGATGCTATCTCCCGACAATACGAACCTTTGGAGTCTATCGCCCCCACTCCTGAACCCATTGTACCCACGCCTAAGATAATAGCTGCTACCTGTTTAGTTATTTCGTCTCTTTTCCTTGATGGTATCAAGGCATACCAAACCCAAGCATCCTCTGAGACACCTGTTGGTAGATTATACGTGAAAGAGAAAGATAGAAAGAAATTGTTAGCTTTATTTCACACCGCCAAAACGGCTGGCCACCCACTCCTTCAACAGTTTTGGTGGCCTTCACTTAAGCAAGACGTGGTGGATTATGTAAAGGCTTGTCGTGTTTGTGCACAGTGTAAGTCCCCTAATGTCAAACCCCCGGGACTCCTAATGCCTTTATCCGTACCCAAGAAACCATGGACCCACTTATCCATGGACTTTATTGTGGATCTTCCTTCATCCGATGGAATGACAGTAATTTTGACTGTGACTGATAGATTCTCTAAAATGGCACACTTTATTCCACTTAGGAAACTACCTTCTGCGGTTAAGTTGGCTCAGGTATTTGCCAAAGAGGTTTTCCGCTTGCATGGTATACCACAGGATATCGTATCTGACAGGGGTCCTCAATTTGTCTCGGTTTTGGAGGGGCTTTTGTGCTGAGATGGGGATTTCCTTGTCGTTTACTTCCTCCTATCATCCACAATCTAATGGAGCGGCCGAACGGGCGAATCAATCTGTGGAGTTATATTTACGTTGCTTCACGAATGCACACCAGGACAACTGGTCTCACCTCCTTCCTTGGGCTGAATTCGCCAGGAACACTGTGACTCATTCATCCACTGGCTTAAGTACTTTTATGGTTGCTTATGGGTTCCAACCCTCTGTCTTTCCCGGCGTATTCTCCGACAAGGGAATACCCGCTTTGGACCAGCACCTCACCTCCTTACGGAAGATGTGGGATCAGGTCCATGCTACTCTTTCTCGTGCGACTGCTACTCAGAAGAAATTTGCTGATCGTCGTAGGGGTGCTGCTCCCTCTTATGTCCCGGGTGATAGGGTTTGGTTGTCCTCTAAGAATCTCCGCCTCAGGGTCCCCTCAATGAAATTCGCGCCCAGGTTCCTTGGCCCCTATAAGGTATTGCTTATCCTGTGTCCTACTCCCTAGCCTTGCCTCCTTCCATGCGTATACCTAACACTTTCCACACCTCCCTTTTGAAGCCCCTGCTCTGTAATCGATTCTCTGGTCCTCTTAGGCGTCCAGATTCCCTCCGCGCTGTCTCTAATGACGTGTACGAAGTAGCTGCTCTGCTTGATTCTCATTTTTCTCGAGGTCGGTCGCAGTATCTGGTTGATTGGAAGGGTTACGGCCCTGAGGAGCGGTCCTGGGTTTCTGCCTCTGACTTGAATGCGCCCTCTTTGATCCGCCCCTTTCATGCGCGGTTCCCTTCGAAGCCTTCGGCTTCCCGCCCATTGGGCGGGCCTCGTGGGGGGGGTTATGTCAGGGAGCCACGGGCGGCGAGGAGGGGAGGCTGCACGCCACTTGCAGCACTCACCCTCAGTCCATCGCCGC